GACCTCTGGGGAGACCTAGACGTAGATGGGAGGATAATGTCAGGCGGGATCTATGGGAGATAGGAGTCGAAGGAGACTGGATTTTGTTGGTCCGGTGGAGGGCTTTGGTAAGTCCGGTGATGAACCTTCGGGTTCGGTAAGCCATCTAGTTAGTTAGTTTGATTGTGAAGAAGTTAATTTTTACAAACAATGGAATGTGACCTGAGATAACGAAAGATAATAATCATTACAAATATATAAACAATATCTTGTAAAGAAGATTGCTGTCAAAACCTCAAATCCTACAATATCTTACACAGTGTGATCAAACATTTTTCATCAAACACATATCATTAATTTCATTTTTGTGAGTGCATTCCAAAGAATAAATAAAAAATATGATTCTTTCGAATCACAGTTTCATAAAAATATTAAGGGAGGGAAGGAGTTAATGCATGATGCCTGGGCAGAATCAGTGAGTGACTGCCGCTGATTTTAATGGATTCTGTATGACCTGCCACAGAAGCCAGTCCAGGAATAAATTATACCTAAATGAAGCTACGTATAACTGAAAATGCTGTATTTACACATTTATGCGTTCTTTACCTTATACAAAATTGAGCATCGTCAGTTTTCTGAGCATCGTAGTGGAAAACTGCACGTGAAATATCCACATCTTTTATTGGTACAGGATCCTGTTCAGTCTTATACACGTACAACTTGCAATTATCGGGTGACAGACGCAGCCATCGAGATTTTCCCGGGACCCTGTCCCATCCAACTGTCATGTAGCCACACAGTCGAGGCTGAATTTGCTGAGATTCTTCAGTACTACTCTTCATCTTTAACATCTGTCAGTATCAGATACTGAGTTCTATAATCAGAATTATTGAATTCTTTAATCAAAACTTTCATTATGATTAAGCTTATCATGATAAAATTCAACAATCAAGAATCAATAACTCTCACATTGATAATAAACACATCAAAAACATTTACAAAGGCAAGAAAACAGATATCCAAAAAAGAACATCTGTGGTTAGACCAAGGAAAAGATGGTCAGAACAAACTCTGGAGACAGAACACGTTTAAACCTGATACTTGAATGTTGATGACTTATGCAGGTGACAGCTGTCTTCTGGGTTGTTGCACCCCGTAGTCAGGTAGAAGTTTACCAACGTTTCAGAGGTCAGGGCTAACTTCGGACTCATCACCATGAAAACCTCAGATCCTACCTACTTATAGAGATGTTTACAGTGACTATGTGTTACCCCAAACCAAGATGTCCATGTTGAAGAAAAAGTCTTCACAATGTTCAGAAACATGAATACATTCAAACTTGTAAACAAAGTCTGCCTGGCTTTAAGAGTGTTTTGCAACAAGACTGTGTACATGTAACTAATATACACATTAACAGCTTTGTCCACTAATACCTGTTTCAAGACCTCCCACATTATCACAACAATGATCTTCGAAACCACTGTTGCTTTTGATATCTATGCTGCATATTATTCCTTTCGAGTAAAATAATATGAGTCCACAGTTCCTTTGAACCATAGTTTGCTTTGAAGCATTCTGTTGACATCCCAGTCCTTGATGTGGTGTGAACAAAACATTTGAAATTCTTTCATATTCCACTTACCGCCTGCTCTATATAATGAGGCTTCCTAAAACCCCCTAAAGATGGCAACTGCAATGAAAACCTACAGACAGTTCCATCTGTGCTCCACAAGGCAGATGACGCGAGAGAAGGATGTAGAAACAGCGTCTGCTTCTTCTTTGAGCAATAATTAATCATCTCTGTTATAAAAATCCCCATCCATTTGTTGGTTCACAGTAAAACTCTTTGTTTGATGTCTAGCTAGAAATATATATTTTATACTACTACTATCATGGCAATACCTGAAATTTGTTTTAGCATCGTTGAATGTATTACTGGTTTTAGTCTATAAAACAGTTTGCTGCAAAACCAATGTTATGGAATATAACTAGTCACACTCACAGCCTCTAAACCACTCAGCAATGAGATGCATAGTATTCTCTTTTCCTACTGAACTAAAATACACACCATACGCTGTACAATCCTTCATGTGCAACAAACACACCGCAATCAAGTCCACGACACAGAGTAAGCACTCTTGTTCATTTGTGCCTGTCATAATAGTCCATACAGCAACAATTTCCACATTCATATGACTCCTGCTCTTGGCAATGGTCACAGCCTTTCTCAATTTTGTACCTAAAATCTGTATTGTCCAGACGCACC